TGGCAGATCAATCTTTATTGTGGCTCCATGCAGTCTCACACTCCCCAGTAACAGAGGTTCAATACATTCCTCCCTTGGAGCTCAGGTCACTGCTGTCTTCATCTGGGTAAGATAATTTGAGAATGCAGGGGAAGTTTTCTGACTATCTTTTCATTCTCTGGGTTATATGAGCAAAAGCAGTCTTTATTTTAATACTATGCTACAGCCTAAGAAATATATATGTATTGCACCACTACTTCTAAGTTTCATCAATAGCAGAAATAAAAGAAATTATATTAATATAGCAAAGTTTTCCAACATACATATAGCATTCATTTTAATATTTGCAAAAAGAATATAATATAATGTAATGTAATGCAATGTAATGTAATGTAATATAATATAATTAACTAGGAATATAATACAATGTAATGTAATATAATATAATATAATATTTTATACATATATATATAATATAATATCTATAACAATCCTGATCCCATGTGTATTGGGATCATGTGTATATAGTTGCTATGTTATAGGCAAATGTTACAGTTTTTGAAAAGTTGTTATAGTTATTACTGTTGTCACTGTTATTGATGTTTTAGGATTTGTTTAGGTTTTTCTAAGTAGGTTTTTGTTGCTTAAAAAAAAAGCAAGGGGGAGCTGTGGAATTTGGGGCTACATTTGTTAAAGTTGTTAAGGCCTATGCTCACCAGAAGGCCCTATGGGAAGGCACAGCTGCAGACCCAACAGTTGGCAGTAAGCTGAGGGGTGAAGGGCAGCTAGGAGTGAGGAGAGAGTCAGTTAAGTGAGAGATGAAAGTGAGATTGTGATTGGCTGGAGGAATGCATGCACAGCATATGAGCAGGAAGCTGATTGGGTGATAGGATACCCAGACAGTGTATGAGCGGTAAGCTGATTGGGTGATAAGATGCATGGACCGCAGCTCTGCAGCTGGGCCAGCCAATGGGTGCCTTCTTTCTGTTAAGTTCTGTTAAGCTTCGGTTTGGTTTCAATTATGTTGGGTAGAGGTTAAAGCTATAAAAAGGGGAAATTTCTGCAGTAAAGCAATCTTCTTCGAATGCATAAGGGCATCCATGTCGCTTTGGTCCCCATTGCTAACCAATGATAAGCTGTTCCTAAATGATCTTGGTGTCAGTTAATGAACACATCTTTGGAAGTAGAACTATTTTAGAAAGTAAACCCTGATCCCATTGTCTTCACCAGAGATCTGTAAGAAAGGACAGTGCTGTGTAAAAAGGATAACTACAAATATTAATAAAGTACAATTACACCACTCCAATATTAAATAAAAGCTTACAGCTATTTAATAAAAGTTTCCCTAACCTCTTGTTGGGAAGGATGAGAATTTAACAGAAAAATTTTACAGATATGAATGCTTAGCAGAAGGTTCTCTAGAAATGAAAGGAAGCTCTGATATATAAAAGATGTTTTTAGGGCCAGTTGTTGCTGAAACAGCTGGGAGAACAAAGTTTAGTCGAGTTGGAAGGAGGTTTTATGGCTAAGGTCCAACAGGTTAAGTGGTCTTCAAACAAAGCATTTTTTCTACCAAGTAAAAAAGCATAGGCAAACAGAAAGATTTTTTTACCAAAGCAAGAAGAATTTTGCACTGCAAAACAAGTTTCAAAGTTTAACATGTAACTACTAACTCAAATGATTGGTCACTTACATAATATGGTAATTTTAGTAGTTTTGATAGGTTATATGTAAATGTAAAGGTATTGTGTATGATGCTGATTGGTTGTCATGCATTAAGATGCACAGACAAATAGCAAAGAAAAATATATAATGCAGCGTAACTAGAAATAAAGGGGCTTCAGGACACATGGCTTGCCTATAGCCAGCAGCTGTAGGACAACCCACAACCCCCTGCTGTATCGTAGTCTTTGGAATAAACAGCATTTTAAAGAAGAGCTGTCTGAAGTTCCCATCTCTGTCAGGCTCTTACACCTCTGACCCTAACAATAACCTCTAATCTAAATCTAACCTACCCAAGCTGTAAGTCCTAGTACTAACCCTACTCCTAACCAAACCACAGCCCTAATCACTAACCCCTAACTGTAACCTTGTTGTGGTTTTAAACCAATAACTAAGAAAATTACTTATTTCTTGCTGTGAGATATGGATTAGAACAAGAGCAAAACAGGCATACAACTTAAAAGGAATAAAGAAAGTTTATTGACAAGCTACAATAATAAGAACACCAAAATAAACTTCCAGAAAAAACCTTTTCATCCCCTATTTACCCACTATTCCCTTGTTCACATGACAACAGACAAAAACTTTGGAACTTTGATGGTTAAAACAGTCCCAATTCTTGCTACAGTCTTTTCACCAGTCTTTGTAGAGAAACAGAAGTTTCTTCCTGTTAATTTATGGAGTTTCTCACAAGAAAACTATTTTTGTTATAGTTGTCTATTGCCCTAATGTTAGCTGCTCAGAGCTGCTATTATTAGAGTTCACTCCTCCCATTTTCACATCACTCTGAAGTGTGTATGGGCCATGCGTCTAGAGATAGCATTTTTAAGGATATGTTATTCAAAGGCAAAAAAGTCTTCTTCATCTGGTTCTGTGAGCTTCACTAGAAAACAGTTTTCTCATTGCCTCTCAAGGCTTCAAATCTCCCAGCACTTCACTATACCATAATTACTCTACTTTTTACTCAAATTTACACTTTGAACACTTTATTCCTCCCTACATACTTTATCATGAATTAAAGGAGTTCTTTTCAGGACTTCATTGTCCATCTCCATAGTTTTAACAGAAAGATATTTCAGCTTAAATAAACCATCTTCTTAATTCTCTACCTCTTCTGAAGTTTCTTTTCTTTCCTGTCACTGGTAGTTTATAAAGTCTCTTTTCATGTTGATCACACTCTCTCTCTCTCTCTCTCTGGATAAAAAGATTAATCTGCAAGTCTCATCTGGGTAATGAAAGAGTTAAAATCTTGCCCAGGCTTTTGTAGATAATTCGGTGATCTCTGCTGAACAGGAGCTGGAGCCGTCTGCGATGGAAGGTTCTTCATAGCTGCTCTGGAGAGTGTGGCTGTCTCTGCTTGCTGCAGGTCCAGAGCCTCTCTCCTTCTTCACTTGGCAGTTTCTAGTGAATGTAGTTGCAGCAAAACCTGCAGCCGAGCCAGAGATTGGCTCGGTCCGGCCCAGGCCCGAGGAAAACCTTCCCCAGGCCCCCCCCGCCATCTCCCCGCCGGGAGACGGGGCAGGCCCGGCTCCAATCCCCGCTCAGCCGCATGGCCTGGGCAGGGAACAGGAGGCCGGGAGCTCTGCCACCCTTCACAGCCAGAAAACCAAGAGAACCCAGAGAGCTCTGCTTTTACACTTTAAGGTAGGGTTCACAAGTTGATCCCACTTTTCAATGGCCTAAACTGCTGTCAATTCTCAGCAATGACTGATAATTGGTCAGGAGAAAAGACTCCAGGCTGTTCCCAGCAACTCCAACTTTCTTAAAGGTAAAGTAACTCCATGACAAACCTCTAACCCTAACTGTAACCCAAACCCTTTCCTCTGCCCTCGATTTCAGTGCTGGGTCCCTTGGCTGGGCTGGTGTTGTCCAGGTGATGGTACACGTCTGTGCAACCCAGATGTTGTCCAGGTGGAGTGCTGTATTGCAGCAGGTGTTATCCAGGTGGATCCACACCTGTGTGGAACTCAGGTGTTGTCCAGATAACACCATGTAGGAGTGTCTAAACTGGGTGCTGTCCAGGTGTAGTGCATCTGGCAAAATATGTTACCCAGGTGTATCTATGTCACACCTCTGTGTGACTCAGGTGTCTGTCTGTCACACCCATATACAACCTAGATGTTGTCACCCTTCACTGACAATTTCCCCCCTCAGCTGATTCTGTCGCCGTCATGGGAACAGGCGGGGATGGGCACACATTTCACACATGACACCTATGTTACTGCTCACATGCATCTGCGTACACACACCTGACACAGGTCTTGCTCAACAGATGTTTATTGCTATTTCCATCATGAAATGCAGCCTCTGTGGGGGAAAATCCTTCTGTGGGGGTGGGCTGAGGGCTGTTAGGCAACCCCCCCCCACCTCAAATGTCCCAGATGTCACCTGCTCACAACCCACAGACATACACCTGCTCCTCTGTGGTCCTGGGGGGGTTGGGGGATACTGAAGGGGTCTTGTGGGGTGCCAAGGGACTCCAGGGGGCCTCAGATGCCTTTGGCAGGGTGCCAGGGGTCTCAGGGGGTTCCTCAGTGGCCTTAAAGTGGTCAACACGGAAAGCCCAGCGCCCTGGGACTCCCAGGTTGCTGCGGTGGCTGAGGCTCTGCACTGTGGGTGTCCGTGACCCCGGGACATTGTAGTAGTGGACATCGTCCCCAGCGTTGAACCCAGCCTACAGGGGGGAAGATGGGGGAACAGGGTGTGACATGAAGGGAGGGGAACAGGGGGACAGGAGGAGAAGGTGAGGGGTAAATTCTGCTCAAATTCCCATTGAATTTTACTCAAAATGTGTTTCATTTCACCCCAAATCCACTTAATTCCACCTAAAATCCCCCTGATTTCAGATAAAATCTACCTGATTTTGCCACAAATCCCCTTAATTCTACCTCAAATTCCCATAAATCCTTCTTAAAATCCCCCTAATTTCACCCCAAATCCCTTTAATTCCACCCAAATCCCTTTAATTCCACCCCAAAATGCTTTACCTCCCCCAAGCCCAGAATCCCTCCTAGCCCAGCATCCCCCATCCCTTGGACTGTCCTCAGCTGCAAAGGGATGACCCCGTGCCCAGTGCCCCTCTCTGTGTCTCCACCTGTGCAGGGATGCCCCCCAGGCCAGTGTGGGGATCCCCCTGATTAGCAATGCCAGTTGTCCACTGCAAGTCTTCATAGTTGAGCAGGACAAAACAGTTGACACCATCGGAGGTCAGCACAGCCTGGAAAGTGTTCACCTGCCGGGGGACATTGTCAGCATGTCACCATGATGACCCCCAGCTATGTTTCCATCCCTGTGTCCCCAAACATTTGGTGACACCATGGTTAGGGACATCATGGTTGAAGGTCACTTTGTCCCATGTCCCACCTTGTCCGAGGCAGCTCCAAAATAGGCCACATGGTCCCAGGTGGCCACAAATGCCCAGGTAGGCTGTGGGGGTGGGTCCCCAGGTGACACAGCAGGTGCAAGGTCCTGGGCCAGGCGTGCCAGGAGCTGGGGGTCCCGGCTCTGCCGGTAGAAGACGTTCCCTCCCAGACGGGTGTCCACATCAGCCCAGTACGGTGCCACAAAGGGGCGGTGGCCTGGCAGCGGGAAGGGCTGGGGGGTGAACTCTGGGACCATCATCCCAAAGGACACCACACCATTGTTGTTCACCTGCAGGCAAAGGTCACCCATGGGACACACCTGGATGGCACTAACCACAGTGACCCTCCATGGTGGTCCCAGGTACAGTGTCTCCAGTCATGGGGAATCCCTACTATGATGACCCCTGTCATGGTGGCCTCAATTGTGATGACCCCCAATTTCCAGTCAGTCACCGCAGCACCTCCCAGTATGGGCCTGGGAGCCCCCGTGTCACCCCAGAATCTACCACTATGGGCCTGGAACTCCAAAACCACCTGAAGATCCCACAGGTGTCTTCAATGTCCTCAGGGACCCCCACAGGTATCCCTGATGTCCCTAGGAGTCCCCACTCACCAATGTAGTCAAGGATGAGGAGGAGGAAGTGGTGACATCAACTCTGGAGGCTGCATCCAACTTGTCACCCTACATTTCGTGTCACCCTCCACCTGTGTCACCCACCAAATGTCACCTCCCCCATGTCCCCCCAGTCACATGACCCACATAGAGTGAGCGGTGGACATGTCCAAAGAAGGAGAAGTTTTCCTGTAGGAAGATCTCAGGGCTCGTCCCATCATCTTCATGGTGGGTGGCCTCATCCCCTACTCCTGGTCCAAAGGGGTACAGGACCCCACCTAGGGACACACACCTGTCACACACCTGGGACACACACCCAGTGGCACACAGGACCCTACATGGGAGACACACCTAGTGGCACCTGGGACCTGCCAGTATGGAGGTGGGACCTTCCAGTATGGGCCTGGATTTCCCATATGGGTCAGGGACCTCCAGTGTCACCCCAGAACCTCCCAGTGGGGGCATAGGGCCTGCTGGTAGGGGACTGTGAGCTGGGACCTCCCAGTATGGGCCTGAGACCTCCTGGTATGGGAATGGGACCTCCCACTATGGGCCTGAGACCTCCTGGTGTGGAACTGGGACCTCCCACTATGGGCCTAGGACCCCCACTCTAGAACCTCCCAGTATGGGCCTGGCACCTCCCCAGTGTAAGCCTGGGACACCGAACTCACCTATGGGTCCCACAGGAGCCCCCGATGTCTTCAGGGGTCCCCACTCCTCTGCGTGGCTGAGGAGGAGGAGGAGGAGGAGGAGGATGGGGGGGACCTTCGTGTGTCCAGGCCTGGGGGAGTGTGAGGGGGCTCCCCATCAACCATGTCCCCATGTACCCTGTGACCACTCCATCTTGCCCATGTCCCCAGTGTCCCCATATCCCCCCATGCCCTCCATGTCTCCCCCAATATCCTGCATGTCCCCAATGACTGTCCCATGAGCCCTTGTCCCCCCATGTTCCCCCATGTCCTTCATGTCCCCCTTCCTTGTCCCTCATGTCCCCCCAGGTGCCTATGTGCCCCATTTCCCACATATGGACATACTGGTCCCCATATTCCCCTATGTCCACCATGTCCCACATCTGCCCCCATGTCCCATATGTCCCCATGTCCCTCATTCCCACCAATGTCCCCACTCACTGCACTCCCATGGTCCCAGTCTGTCCCAGTGCTGTGACTGGAGCCACTTTATCCCCAGGGAGGGGACAG